TCTGCCGAATGGAGATAGGGCTCTGCTGTTGTTTCTACCAACTGATCAGCTTTGCCTTACCCACAGTGATAAACACACACACACAGATACACACACACACACACACACACACACTCTACATGCCTCTCACTAATCGTCCTACACAGCCTCTGTGATCTGTTAAAGTAGACAAACAATAACAAAATAATATTCGCAGCTATTTTGTGTTTTGGATCCTCCCACACATGGATGAAGGGCATCTATTGTCATATCGGAGATATTTTTTGTCTTTTGTCTGTGTCAAATGAATGATCATAATATAGCGCACTACACAGCTGAACCTGAACACTCACATTCCCTCCTTCATTACTCTGTGAAATGGACCAACTGCCCCACTTAATAAAAACATTCCCTTTTTCAGTTGCCATGTATGGATTTAAGCACAGGTCTAAATCAAGACAGAGTAAGGCGTCCAAGATTCTGTCATAACACGCACTTAATTTAATCATATCTTTCGATCCAAGAAAAAAATAGGAAAGGGAGGGAACTCAGTATTTTCCATGAGCCACTTAGCTTGTTTTAAAACTCATTAAGTAGACACATGAAAAGTGGAGAATCACAAGTTAATATAAACATTTTGTCAGAGAAATCTTTATTCAAGATCCACCTTCTTGTTTGTAGCTTTCAACCTCATCTTATCAAGGTCATTAACAGCCAATTGGGTTGAAGGTTGAGAAGAAGGCTGTGAGATGTGGTTTAAAGCTCAACAATAAAGCTTGTAGTGTTCTTTGCACTATGGTTTTATTGTTTTACTTACTGTCACTCTTACTATAATTTCCCTTAAGTATCTGCATCTGTCTTGCTGCAGGGGAATACGAAAGAAGGATACCGTGGGCGCTTACTGCCTCAGTAGCGACAACCTTTGACCTTTTGCAATCTCAGATGAACCCAGAATTACGTAACTCAAAGGTCCTTCGGAGTGATATCACTGAGTACAATGTGACCACCTGTCCCCGTCTGACCACCGCAGACAATTAGTTATCTCATGTACAGTATCTTCAGGCCAACATGAGCTCAGAAAGAAGAGAATGGAGATAAAAGGATGGATATTATTATTGCAGTTCTGTAAAGAGAGAAAGACAAAGCAATGGATAGGAGATATTGAGGACACACAGCTGGAGAAAGAAATCCTACAGATTCGAATAAATGTCATTCTCACCGACAGCTTCTATCTTAATTTTCACTCATTCAAAAGGTCACACAGGAACTTGGTCTGACATATAAAAAGTAAATATTTCAAGGCTTTCTCGTGCAAGCGTCTTGATCATTTCTACCAATCTAATTCAATGTATGGTGGCACATAAGGAAATATTTAGAAAATATGATTAAGAGTAATAACTATTTACAATAGTTATTCTTGGATTCATTCATTAATGTGATGAAAATATCCCTAAACTTCTTAAAATGCCAGTGGGATTACCTGGAGTTCCTCGTGGGGATCCAAACTTCTCCTATTACCTTTTTGTTGCATCGTACTCCAGGCAGGGCAGGTCACTTCGACACTGAATAATTCAGGAGAGGCCGTGAAGCTGCCTGCGTGTTTTAGATAATCCTGTCGGTGTGTGTGTGTGTGTGTGTGTGTGTGTGTGTGTGTGTGTGTGTGTGTGTGTGTGTGTGTGTGTGTGTGTGTGTGTGTGTGTGTGTGTGTGTGTGTGTGTGTGTGTGTGTGTGTGTGTGTGTGTGTGTGTGTGTGTGTGTGTGTGTGTGTGTGTGTGTGTGTGTGTGTGTGTGTGTGTGTGTGTGTGTGTGTGTGTGTGTGTGTGTGTGTGTGTGTGTGTGTGTGTTGAGGAATGGTTTCTGTGTGACTGTGTGAAGATGGGCGCTAACAGAGTGGTTTCCTCTGTCCTCTTGGAGAAGCCCTGTGGCCTACTTAGGATCAGCTTACAGATGTTGGACTGAGAGTGGATGTTGAAAACTGACTCCGTGTTTTGGGGATGTGGTTTCCTTACTCCAGTGTTTGGGTAAAACAGCCAGCGAGCCTCCACCTGTTGATTAAGAAAAGCGACTCTACCTGAGCCAGTTTTCCATGTTTAAATATATTAGAGCTTATCTGTATGCCAGGAAAAAAATACCTCTTGCTTTTCTTTAAATGAAATGTGTATCTGTAGCTTTCACAACATCACAACCAAACAGACCTGTCACTGTTGATCCTTTACCGTAGTAAAAGCTCCATGTGTGTGTTGATGATAGTACCAGAGCTTTTGTAGTAGTATAGTGCCTACTGTAAATATATACAGTATGACTCACCACACTCAATGCATCATCCTCCTCTTGATAAGGATACATTTGTGTCCATGCCAAGCGTGGTTAACAATCTATGCTGGAAACACATGCTGTTGGTTGGGATAACATTATGTGTGTCAGTTGGTTTGAAATGGTCTGAAACAGAATTAAACAAAAGAACAAAATACGGTCGAAGCCATCCTCAGACTGTCGACCGAGCTAACACGTAGTCTCAGTTGAAGCCGAGCTCTCTGCTGTGGTTCAGGTTGGTCTTGGGTTGCAGTGACGTAGGTAGGTCCTTCAGTCAGCAGTGACATCAGGCTCTGAAGTTACACTGCACAGGTACACAGCCTACGGTGCACCCATACATCCCCGTGTCATGAATAATGGCTTAAGCGGTGGGCTAAGGAGGATGACCTTTGTTAACCCCACCTCCGGTTACCTCACTCACCAAAGCCTCCGGAGGCTTCCACCTGTACCGGACTTTAACTTTTTTTATTTCCAGCAATCTGTCATTAGATCTGGCCTTCTAAGGAAACTGTCATGATGTAATTTTAAGGTTAAAATGGAAAGATGTCACTTTTTGGCCCTAAACTTGACATTTTTGCTAATATTTGGAGGGAAAAAACTTTGAAAACTTTGAAATTGTACAATAACATATATGAATATATGATATATATATGAATATACGAGTCTGAGGGCAATGGGAAAAGTTGATCATGTTTTTATCGAGCTTTAGTCAATTGGTTCAAAGTTTGTTTCTTAACCATCAACTCCTGGCTATATTATGATGTTGAAGTTCAGTTTGTAAGTCTTGAAAAGTTAAAACAAGGTGTTGAAGAAGATGTTAGCTGATTGATTTCTTTGTTATACTCATGGCTTCATCCGTACATTCTTTCGACTCTTTGCCATGTTTTTGTTAGACACTTTCTAATCTAGATCAGCCACTAATTTCATCCAATATTCAGAGACCCCTCCACCCTTCCTCTCGCTTTCCCTCCGTGTCACAGTGCAGAGTGAATAATTCATGGTCGGGCTGCTTGCTGGTGAAGATGAATCATGTGAGGAGAGCAGGATACTCATGCTCGCTTCAGAGCGACTCCTCTCTCCAAATACTGCAGGACAGTGTTGGAGGGGGGGGGTCACAACTTTACTGTACAGACCAAAACTACTCAATCCTGGTTGTATGACATGACCAGTTCCTCTGACTTCAAAACCAAGCCATCTTCAGAGACCATGCAGCAGCCTGTCAATATTGTATCCATCCATTTTTTGTATCTACATTGAGTGTGTAGCATTAGGGCCTCAGGTATTAGCTCGTAAAAAATACTTTTGGTGTTGATTTCCAATTTGAAAGTCTCAAATCTTGAATGTGAAGTCTGAAGCCCAAGGCCACAACTGTGATTTTATAGTCATTCGAAAATTGAAAGTTTTATCAACGTTACTGATCTTCTTCAGTAGGCGGAGTTAGCCCAGTTATCTGGAACTGATAGCATGTTTTATGTTGCTACACCTAAAGATAATTATGTTCACATAAGTCAGAACCTAAAAAGAAGTCAGCTTTTTTGCTCTTTGGTCTTCTCTCATATCTAAGTCAATGTTTTATTGTTCCTTGTTAGATGCCTGAAATAAGGTCAGCTGTTAACACAAGAGATTTTAACATTTTGTTATATTTGACATTGTTCACTAAATACCTGGATGCTTTTATGTGTGCTAAGAAAGGCTGTTGCTAACAAATGGCTAAATGAGACTCAATTGGTTGTTGAGACATTAAACGTCATTACGCATTAGCTACAGTAAGTGGTGGTAATATTTGCAAGTCATTCGAAAATTGGAAGTGTTATCAACGTTAACCTAACTGCCAGTCTTCAACAGTGAAAGATACGTTTTGATTTTTAAAAAGGTACAATTAGACTACCAAGTCTTCAATACAGTGATTTTTGTGTGACACTAGCTGTCTGCTCCACTGATGTTTTGCATTAACCATACACGGCATGTTAGGCCGTGTATGGTGACAGCTGGAGCCACCTCCATCAAGCTTTGACTGAAATCTATGGGTGATGTCAGAGAGACTACAGACATATTTTATACAGTCTATGCTGATTACCAAAGAGTCGCCGTATGGCTGTATGATAATGTTCACTGACTGGAAATGCCTATTGCTGTTTGCCTGCGACCATTCCCTAACTATGCGATGTTGACCCAGTTTACACGTTTGGTTGTACAATATGAAAAGTTTGTCGCTCCTTGCTCTGCAGACTCTGTTCCTTCACTCCCACACACTTCTGTCTCTGGAGAAACTCCCTGCCTACCTAAATGTGTCTCTGCTTGCTTGTGTCGGTGTCAATTTTCACATTGTGTGTTTGTGTGTACTGTCATAGCTCTGCAGTCCTCTGAAGCTTATTGTGTCCTGATCTGGTCCTGATGCACATGTGAACCTCACACGCAGGATGAACACACCAGAGTGTTGATGGACCCAGAACAACAATAATTCATATGGAGGGGAAGTTTTAGTGCTATCACAGCATGTTATCAGACTGCATGGCTAGGGAACCAAACTTGTGGACTGAAAAGCTCCGTGCTTAACGTTCGCTCAGGCTTACAGCGATGCAAGGATATGTGATTGATTGGAGAGATCCTAAGGATGAGGTTGAGGTTGCTGGCATTGACAGAGGGAATTCAAATGGTGTGCATTTTGGTGGTGATGTCTTTTGATTCTCTTTCTCTCTTTCTTCCAGATTAGTCGCTGCTTGAAACCAGGAGGACGCTTTGTCTCTGTAACGTTTGCCAATCCCCTCTTCAGGAAACGCCTCTATGCTCGCACAGAGTACAACTGGTCAATTAACGAGTACAGTTACGGAGAAGGCTTTGAATATTTTGTGTACGTAATGACCAAAGGAGAGGGGCTCAGTCCAGAAGATGCAGCTCTGGAGAAGAAGATACTGGAGGACAGAAAAGCCCCACCTCCCATGATCGCCACACAAAGTGAAGATGAGGAAGACTTCCTGTCTAATATTGACTTAACATAACTGGATTTTCTAAAACAATTTTAATTTGCAGTTGTCACATGCCAAAAGAAGAACTGGAGCAAGAAACATTTTTAAACCGGGGAGAAAATCATGTTTGAGATCATTTCCATTGACAAAAGGGTCTCTTACATTTAGGGACTGTACAACATGGAAATGCCAAACTAATGAAACAAATGTTATTCTAAATAACAGCATCTTTGGAAAACCAAAACCCAACTCACTATTTTAAATAAATGAAATGTAATACAGCGCTGGCACTAGCCAACAATCAAGTGTTTTTAACAAAAAGTTAATTTGGTGTGTGAAAATATACACTACCCAAACTGACCTTTGACCTTTCTTTATCCCGCCATGTTAACAAATACAGAAAAGGTCACTTTCAAAATACAGATCTTAACACACAAAATGTCAACAAACATTACATATTCTTGATTTAAGTCTGCTCTTGTATAACATTAACAATGTTTTGTATATGTTTTTATCTGATTTTATTGTTTTTATGGGATGGTTTGTATTAATTTTAACATCACATCATGGAGCTTTCCTCAGCTTCTTTTCTAACGATAATAAAACAAATCAATGTTCCACCCCAGTGTCCTTAACTGCCTATATATTGAATTGGACAGTACTGCCAGTGTTACGCAATGTGCACAACAAACTTGTCTAGTACATAACAGCAGCCTGCATGTCAAGCAGTGGCGTAACAAGGTTGTGATTGGCCCCGGTGCAAATATTTGTTTGCCCCCCCCCCCCCCAACTCAGCGTTGCTTGCTTTTCTCTCTCTCTCTCTCTCTCTCTCTCTCTCTCATCTCATCTCTCTCTCTCTCTCTCTCTCTCTCTCTCTCTCTCTCTCTCTCTCTCTCTCTCTCTCTCTCTCTCTCTCTCTCTCTCTCTAACGAAAAATATAGCCTACTTATGCAAACAACATAAAACGGAGCATTATTTATTTCTACTTGAATGTCGCACTGCACCCACTTTGCGATTATGTAGATTATCTCATTTTGAACAGCTGGACTCAAGTATTTCACAGAACCTTGAGGTCGCTCAACAAGTTCTTTCAGAACCGGATCGTAACATGCTAAAAGTTCTATCATATTGAGAAAGTTTCCACTGTTGGGCTGTCCAAGAATCTCCCTCTGTCCTCTAAAAGCCAAGTTACAAATGGCCAGAGTGATTGTAATGTTGACAATACGCTCAAGTACCTGTCTCCAGTAATTAGCAGCATTCCTTGCATTCCTCTCCATGTTTGCATCGATTCTCCCGTTTTTCTTCCACTGTTCATATATGACACACGCTCCGACATGGACCTGAGATTGTGCATGTGAGTCAATCCTCGCAGACAACGCATGTCCACGCATCACTGTAGAACGGTGCACCTCGGTCTGCGAACAGCCAGCACGGCTCACAATAGGCACAGTCCAGGGTGGGGGAGTAACACAGCCATGTCCGTGGCAGTTTGATACCTACTCTGGTAGTGGTGGTGTAATACATCTCGGAGAAACACCTGTTTCCTTGATGTGTGTCTCTGGGGAATGGGCCGGTAGGCCTACATGGGCCAGTTGCTATAATATAGCCTTTGATCTTGGCGTTGGGGGTCTCAATAGCGCCATAGAGTCCCCTATCAGTTGGGGAAGGGGCCCTTGCGGGAACTGTAGGACCACCGCCGGGCACAGCCAAATCCATCCTCTCCTCCTGGCTTATGGCTGGAGAAGAAGGTCGCACAGCCACGGATACAGCTTCACTTGTGGAGCTAGACGATGGTGAGGCAGGTGAGCTATCGTTAGCCTCCGGCTGCCGCTGCACGTCAACATTACCAACGTTAGCGTTCGATTTCGAGGACGATGTATGACAAAAAAAACTGTCTAATTTTGTCTGTTTAGCCTTTACATCCTTACGTCCTTTCTCTTTTGAGCGCCGCTCTTGTGTTTTGGTTTGCTGTACATTATAAATGCAAGCTATTCAATTTGTTATAATTCTGCCGATATTGCTGCTGCTATAGCTGTGTAGTACATATAACTTTTGATGTTGATTAAACGGTTCGCTCGTCACGCAAGGTATCACATGACATGAAAGGGAGCAAGGTCATTGGACAGACAAATTAAAAATTAATTTAGGTTGCTACGTTACTTTGAAGACTGCGTGAACCAGTCAATGCCATTGGGGCCCCTAAATAAAATATATATGAAAAAAAAAAAAAAAAACTATATACATTTTTTTTTTTGTTGCATGGGCCCCTGGACGGCTGTGGGCCCCGGTGCAATGCACGGGCTGCACCGTCGATAGTTACGCCACTGATGTCAAGTCAGTGTTAACCTAATCTCACCAGAATGCGTGACTCCACCACTACTCCTTAACACCGCATTGCGTGGTGGACTCACGAACTTTGTTACATTTACGTGTCTGCACCACGCAAACAACCCCAATGCAAAGTGAATGAGGCTCTTTTGTCGTGGTGCACACACGCATTTCTACAACGTCCAGCAGTGAGCTTTTATTCTATAAAACGTTTTTTAAATCTACTTTATAGCTTGTAGTAACTCACGGGAGGCTTCTTTTATTTTATTTGTATTCATAATAATTTTTATTTTTCGTCAGAATGTATTATGGTGCATTATTTACGAATTTTTGTTCTCAAAAAACAGTGCATTGTGTGTAATACAACTGTGATTTTTATTAAATTAGTTAATTTTTCAGGAAGGCCAGAGCTTCAGCTGTGTCCAATAGATTGGTCCCTTTTAGTTAACGTTTTTTAAAAGAACATTATATTCCGATTTGATCCTGTCCCCTTTATTGTATTACGGAGAGCAATGTGAGCATCCATTCCCATTGGATAACGGAGGATTTTACACCCGGAAGTGAGTATTCTCCTTACTGTCGATTGATGTTACAGTGATATCTGCACTACTCATCAACTCAAAAACACCAGATTATCCTTGTTGATTACACAACATTGATTGGTTTAAGTTGTGTACAATGCTTTTGTAATTTCCCGCTTAGATTCGGAGAAACAAATATTTGTTCAGTTTAGAATAGCCGAAGACCATATATGTCTTATATGTCTTAAATGACATGATGAATTGGAAATGGGGGACCCTGATGTAAACAAGACGAAAGTCTTTCTCTGGTCTGCATCCCCTTAACAATTGTATGTTTTGAGCTGTACTGTACTGTACCCAATATACAAGCTGTTAATAAACTTTGCAATCAATCAATCAATCAAGACACTACACTACCCAGAATCCTCAGCTATTGTTCCGCGTTGCCTCAAGCTCTGTGATTGGTTGACCTCCAACTGCTTTCCATATGAGAAAAAAACGTTTCGTAAAAGATAAATCATACTTTATTCAGAAGTGCTTGCTTTACTCTTTGAAAGTCATCACATGAATGCATTGTAAGAAATGGTTTTGCTGCATTAAATATTACACATCTGTCGTAGTTCTTTATTTATCTACAGAGATCTGGCCTCAAAATAGACCGGAAACTATTCTTTTACCGTTCTGTTTTAATTTCACAATAAAGTTAGTAGTAATAATTTGTTTTGATATTATTGTTTTTTATTAACTACTAGACCGCTGGGTCATGTTAAGACCATCTTTTCTGTGTTGCTGTGGGGTTTTTCCATCGCTTTTGTGTTACAAATATCAAAACAATAACAGAATATATCCGTCGTAAACTAAACTAGAAACAGCAGTATATTTTATTTTGTTAACACTGTAAACTTGACAGCTTTTTAACTCGAACCACCTACTGGTTAAAGCACGTTATTACACGTTTAGAGTAATATTGAAATCTTGAAAAGGGATGTCCAAAATAGTAATTATATACAGTTTTTAATTAACTATTTGTAGAGAATAACGAGTAATGTATATTTATAGGGATCTGCAGATAAATATTTAGTCTTCTCAAGCACCAACAATCATTACATTACATTGCATTTAGCTGACGCTTTTATCCAAAGCGACTTACAATAAGTGCGTTCGACCAACAAAATACAAGCTTGAAGAAAACAGAATCATATAAGTACATCAGGTTTCATAGAGCCAAACATTTCAAGTGCTACTCAACTGGCTTTAGATAAGCCAGTCCTCCAATCAAATATCTCCTGATTGTTGGCACTTGACAATCACCTTCCCTAAATTTTACTCAGGTGTAACTAAAGTTTGCTTTAAAGAAAGCCCTCAGGATTATAAAAGACCCCCATCACCCCAGCCACAAACTGTTCTGTCTGCTGCCGTCTGGCACAACAGCCGCATTCTAGGAGAGGATGTGGCTGTTGTGGAGGACTACAAGTACCTGGGAGTGCACTTATGGGCTAAACTGGAGGATCAACACTGACGCTGTGTACAAGAAGGGGATGAACAGACTCTATTTTCTGAGGAAGCTGAGATCCTTCCACGTGTGCAGCAAGATGCTGGAGATCTTCTAGTCTGTTGTGGCCAGTGCACTCTTCTTTGCTGCGGTCTGCTGGGGGGCAGCATCAGAGCCGGTGACACCAGCAGGATCAATAAACTGATCAGGAAAGCTGGGTCTGTCATCGGCATCAAGCTGTACCCCTTTGAAGCTGTGGTGGAGAGGAGGACACTGAACAGGCTGTTGTCCATGATGGATAACCCCCTCTCCACCTGCAGCTGGACAGTCAACGGAGCTCCTTCTCCAACAGACTGCTGCAGCTCCGCTGTCTCAAGGACCGATACAGGAACACATTCCTGCCCACTGCAATAACTCTGTGCAACAAATCACCTCTGGCTGGAAGAGAACTCTCTGCTCCATAGTTTCTCTTGTAATACAACCTCGCTGTACATTTTACACATATATAATCTGTTCAATATTTAATATTCCATTGTCATATATTTTTGAATATGTATATTTGCATATATAATATCTACATGTATATTTTCTATTTCAACACGTATATTTTCTATTTTCTTTTCTTTCTATTCTTGTTTATTTGTAGTTTGTTTTATTGTAAAATGCCTTGTCTTTTATGCTGCTGCAACAAAAACTATTTCCCAAATTGGGATCAATAAAGTACCATCTTATCTTGTCTTATCTTACATCCGGACTAAAACCACCAGATTCAGGGACAGTTTCATCCCACAGGCCATAAGACTATTAAACACCTGAACTTTGAAATAACATCCATAGCATTAATCTGGCTGCTACTTAGAAATGATTTGTCTAATATATCATTTTCCAATCACTTGTATAGACTCTTATTGCACTAATTCACTTTTTACTATTTTTCTTTTTGTATTGACTTGCACTATTTTTTCTGTGTATCTGTTTTATTGTGTTGCACTCATAGACTGTATATATAGGTTGCACTGTTGGAGGAGCCTGTGACCTAAGGGGGGGGGGGGGGGGGGGGGGGGGGGTGTAGGAGACGTTCGATTCCTGTTTTGAATAGTGTGCCGTCAATGGGTTTCATTCCATTTCAAAATGCTAGGCTTGTTTGAGACAAGCGAGACCTGCGCAGTTGCGATCAACGTCTTGCTAGTGCGTTGCATGATGGTTTAGTCATTTTGTCCGACTTGGGCTGCTTCTCAGGTCGATTAAATGAAATCCTTGCTTCCCTCACTTGCGTCGTTTCCCTGCGTTTAGTCCCTCCCACCAGGGAAGCATGGAGGGACGCAAGGAAACCACGAGAAGCAGGGAAATGAGTTTTAAGAGCAATGGGACGTCCTTTCCTCCGGAGCGTCACGTGAAGCGACGTCCGTTTGTGATGACGCTGCACAGCTGTTCGTCTGGCAGCAGCCAGCTCTGTACCCGTTATTTCCACAAACACCCCCGCCTCTGTTAGTACACATTTACTGACATAAACATTAGTATCATCTGTTGTAGATCCAAATACATGAAATAAAATAAGAAGTCATTCTCAAAAAAGATAAACGCCATTCTTAAAATGTATAAACGAAAAAAGCGATCATGAAAATGTTTCCAATAAATGAATAAAAAAATGTTTGACCACTTTGTTGTTTAGATATATCACATATTTGTAACTAAATGATACATGAATTGAAACAAAACACAGTATAAACTGAGGAGTGAGTCCCGTGAGGTTCATGTATTTTCTTCACTCCGCTGGGGTATTGCTCTCATGTCAAGAAGCATCAGATCAGTGCATGCACTGCCTCGTCCAATCAGTGAGCGATACACAGTAAGGGGGCGGGGTGAGTATCTGAGGATTTCATCGGAGGATGGTCTGGTGGTTGCTCGGTTATCGCTCCTCCATGATCGCTCCTCGCTCCTCGATCCTCGGTCCTCCGGCAGAAATAAGAGCCATGGGACGGTACTCAAGATGGCGCAGGCAAATAAACTTCCGGTGAGACCGAGGACCGAGGAGCGAGTAAATGAAAATAGTCGACCTGAGAAGCAGCCTTGCTCTGGAGGCTCGCCTACATGAGACGTTGAAATCTCGCGGGACAAAGACGCCCGCAGCCTTGAGAGCGAGGCGGTGCAGTTCCTCTCCACGGGCTGCGGAAGCGAAATGCTTGATGGGAAACGACTCGCTGGTATCTCGAGCTGAGCGCTCATTGGTGGGTTTTACCCCTTTGCTGCTGAAACTCTCCAATTGGCTCGGCAAAAGTTTGTTGTTGTTTTGTGTCAGTTTTACGTCGCCACATCCATTCCCATTTTTCATCATTGTTCCACAATGTTCCAATGTTTATCATCATGAAATTAATATCTATATATTTTATACTATACTTGCACTGCTTACCGTTTTCATACTTTATATATCTTAGCATATTCATACACACTGTTCATACTGCTCACAGGCTGATATCTAGTGTATTCATACCCCTCACTGTTTATTCATCATTCAATTCATTCTATATTTTATTCTGTAGATTGTGTACATTACTTTTCACTTTACTGCTTGTTGCACCTGGTTAGAAGCTAAACTGCATTTCGTTGTCTCAGTACCTGTAATATGTGCAATAACAATAAAGTTGAATCTAATCTTGAGCAGGAACAAATGTATTTACTTAGTACATATCTGACATTAACGATTAAACACATGTGTGCATTCTTTATAAATGCAAACCAAGTCAAGCCGACTCCGGTGGCGGTATGCACCTTAAAGTTGTTTGCAATCCGCCAAAAAACGGAGAGAAGAAGAAGAAGAAGAAGACGAAGCTGACTCCGAGCTGTCCGACTTCAGGCGAGCTTTTTGAGACCTCCCCCGGCTGCGATCGGCTATTCTCGTCTACTTTCGAGGCGAGCCGCAACGCGTCTCAAACAAGCCTGCTGTCTGTCGCTCAGCGTAAACTTCGCGCACTGCCACTCCAACATCCAATCACAGAGCTTGAGGACAAATCACGGGGTTTGTCAAGCAAAGCACATGGTGTAGTCCCAAACGATAGCTGAGGATTCTGGGTAGTGTAGTGTCTTCGGCCATCCTAAACTGAACACATATTTGTTTCTCCGAATCGAAGGGGAAAATTACAAAACCATTGTACACAATTTAAACCAATCAATGTTGTGTACTCAACAAGGATAATCTGGTGTTTTTGAGTTGATGAGTAGTGGAGATATCACTGTAAAATCAATCGACAGTAAAAAGAATACTTACTTCCGGGTGTAAAATCCTCCGTTATCCAATGGGAATGGATGCTCACATTGCTCTCCGTAATACCATAAAGGGGACAGGATCAAATCGGAATATAATGTTCTTTTAAAAAACGTTAACTAAAAGGGACCAATCTATTGGACACAGCTGAAGCTCTGGCCTTCCTTAAAAACTAACTAATTTAATAAAAATCACAGTTGTATTACACACAATGCACTGTTTTTTGAGAACAAAAATTCGTAAGTAATGCACCATAATACATTCTGACGAAAAATAAAAATAAAAGCCTCCCGTGAGTTAC